TATTCTCAGTGTTTGACCCTGTAATCATTAAAGAGTCATTATATTGGCTATGATATATCTAGGAATCCTGTTTAAAACAAAAACATTTATTTAAAATCAAAAACATCTAAAAAATAGATTGATTGCCTATTAAGCAGACACCATATTAGGTGTTGGCAGTATTAGTCATAAAGAAGGTATTGTCCCTGTCCTTCAAGAGGTCATTGTATGTGGGAGGAGGGGGTATTTATAAGCAGCTGATTAGACCTCATCCAGAGAAGTACTGTACTAGAGGGTTTCTAGAAGTGTGGTACTGGCTCCCAGAAGGAGGCAGTTAGCCTCCTGGGGAAATGGATATCTTCAGAGAAACTAACCACATTTGAGCTGGTTCTCAGAGGAGGTGCACATTAAGCCTGTTAAATCCATGTCAGCCTTTAACACTTTGTTCAGATTAACTTATCAGGTTGCTTTTCCACCTGGCACTTAGATGAGAGCAGGGCAGGAGGGTTCTGACGGGAGGAAGGAGAAGTCCCAGAGAGAAGACGCCCCAGCAGGGAGAGAAGCCACGTGGAGGCTGGAATTAGGGAAGAGCAGGGCTGCCGCAAGCGCGGGAACCAGAATGCAGCCTCCATCCCCTTATTTGGGTCTCTCCTGGGCTACGGGTAAGTTTCAGGGGTCTCTATAATTTTATTCATTTAGCATGCAAGACTAATCAGGGACCAGACGGACAGGACAGCCCCTGACTGTTTACAGGCTGAAACATTTAGTGCCAATGTGTGGAGACATACAGAGCAATAAAACAAGGGCTGAAACAGCGGCAGATGCCAGCTCCCCAAATGAGCAAGTGAGCTCCCACAGAAGGGCCTTTCTAGTTCTTTTCATCCTTACTGCCTTCCGAAGCTTTGATGATCTATTTTAAATTTCTGTAAGTTTTAGTTTCAGGGAGGTGTGTAATAGAACATCAGCTAATTGTGTGACTTGGAGTAAGCCATGGAGAGAGCCCATTAAAAAAATTATCCTAAAACTAGAAGGTGGACTAAAATACCACCCAGATCCTTTTCAAAGTTTTCTATAATTTATGATTAGTTGAAGTTAGTTTAGTAAGTGTTAATGACCCCATAGACAGATGTGAGCACTTTGATGAAAATCATTTTTTAAAACCTGTTTGGTAAGTATCAGGCAAAATGCAGGACACCTAGTTAAATTTGAATTTCGGATAAGGATATATTCTGGGCATTATTTGAACATCCAAAATATTCTAATATTGTTTTTATAAAGTATTCTTTGTTTGAAACTCAGATTTCACTAGATGTTGTCCTCAAATATATATGTTTTCTAAATCCAGCATCCTCATTACTAAAGTAGGCTCTGTGGAAAATAAAACGGTGTATCAGGTACAGATCCTGCCCTTGGGCCGAAACGGTCAAAGAAGACTCAACATATAAAGAAACGTGTGACAACATGAGAAGTGACAAGAAGTTTGAAAAGTTTGAAAAAAAAAAAACATGAAAAGCATAGGAGAAATATGCAGACAGAAATACTTCCAGCCGTGAGGAGCATGGGTAGCACCTGAGCTGGGGCGGGGGATGGAGGCGCGTGATTTTGTGGGAGGGGCAGGGAGGGGGCGCTCCTCTAGAGGTGAGGGTGTGAGTGCAAGGGTGACACCTTACACTGAGGTGACAGTGACACCTAGGACGCGTGAGTGTGAAGGATCATCCCATACCTATCACCTCCAAGAAAACATGGCCCATCAGTATTTGTTCACAAAAGAAAGCGGGGATATTAACAAGTATATTAATTGAAGATGAAACGTGGTTAAAGTGGGAAAATCATGAGCTTCGGTGTTTTGAGTTCAAATCGGCATTCTAAGTTAGTCTGCATTTTGCGTGATTTTAAGTTATTGCGTGTCTCTGAAGGGTGGCTTCCTTTTCCATAAACGAGACTAGCCAGGCTCTTGTGCTTGGAGGTTCTGAGTAAGCGCCGACGCACCCCAGGAACCCCGCAGGCACTCACTGGATACTGACGGCTAAGCAAGCTGTTAGTTGCTTCCTATACCCCTCCAGCCTCTAGAGGATCTTATTTATTGGATGCTATCAGTAAATACAAACTTCCTCTCAAAATGTTCATTTTTTTCTCTTTATAAGGAAAAAAAATCTTTTTAAATGAAGAATAGCATATCCATCTGAACTGATAAAGCAGTAAGAACCAAGAAGCCAGTGTTTGGAATATTTGTGTCACATATTTGCTTTAAATTGGTTCCCTTAATACCAAGGAAAACTAGATTTCCTTCTTAACTGAAATATCATATGGTTTGATCAGGTGTCCTGCCAGTGGTTTGAGTGTCTTTGAGTGATTATTAAGTGAAAGCAGCTGCTTCTACGTAACTTTCCATGGCCTGACCAAAGGATGGGGAGGTCAGAGCTCAGCTTGTGGACCTGGGAGCTCACGGTGCCCTGTGTTTGCTGGAGTCACAGAGCACGTGCCCTCGTGGGCTGTGAAAGCCGGAGGGAAGGGGGCCTGAGCAGTAATAGGGGAGTTTGTTCCTTGTAAAGACTCATTCTAGATCATTCTTCCTGTTTCTGTGGGGTTTTTTCCCACTAGAATTTGTCTCCATCATTTATGTAAAATATGCGACAAAGATCTTAAACTTGTTCTCTGAGAATGGCGCCTACCACAGTCCGAGGGCCACCGTCACTGAAAGTGTGTTTGCAGACAGTGCCTCCCCACCTTGACGTTTCCTTTCACAACTGAATTATTTTTGCCTCTCTCTTCGACCTCCTGCCCATGCCCACTGCAGAGTATCTAAAATAGATTGACAGCTGATGAAAAGCAATGCATTCCCTCGTCTTCTAAGCTTATTCTTATGCACAGCCCGCCATGAACTGTATCTTAGGTTTATTCTCATGGTTTGTGTTCAGGGACCTCAAACTCAGCAAGGGCACCACTGTGACACAGGAGGATTCCTACAGGCTTTAAGCAAATGTACGTGGTTTTATCAGCCCGGAAGACTAGCCCTGGAGTGATTTGCTTGGGTAACATTTTTGGCAAAGCTTCTCTCTCTCGGTAATAATGTTCTGGGTTCGTGTTACTGAGACTCAAATTTATTTCCAATTAGGTAAAGGTGACCTTCCCCTTCTCCAAAATGAATCTCTCCTGAGACTCATGAATCCTGTTGAAGCCTGTCACACCTGTCATTAGTTAACTGTTAGGACACCTTTAGCCTTAAAATAGCTGGTGTGAAATGAGACTGCCACATGGAGGAAGGACAGAATGGTCGGGCAATCACACCACAGGCTCATCAGATTCTTTGGGTTAGGAATTGACCACCTGGCTTGTGCTGGAGCACTGAGAGACACTTTGAATTTAAAGTAAGATGGAGAAATTGAAGGAAGCTAACACACAGAATAAAATCAGAATCAATCGTGTTCAGCATGGCTGCATCTTGGGCTCAGTGTCTGGGACACAGATCTTAGGCTGCTTTAGATCTTAGCTCTCATTTGTCTGGGTGGCCTCTGCATACAAGCCAGCACTCTATCATCCAGGTGGACAGAGGTAAGGATTCCAGGACCATTGGCCTCCTTCCCATCTCTTCTCCAGCCTTAATCCCTGTAGGACTCACCAACGTTAGTCATGCCTTGGAAATGAGACATTAGAGTGATCCCCTTCTTTCCACTGCTCTTTCTACCTCTCTAGGAAAGGGACAACTTTACTGCTTCCCTTGGGAAACAGAGTTCAATATGGTAAGTATAAATAGTGCATGAAGCCAGCATTGGATGCTGTAAAGCTGAAAATGGGACCAGATATTCTGAAGTAATATGTGCTCCTTTTTAAAAGAAAACGCATATGAGTCTTTTTAGGTTAATTACTGTTACCTCTCCAAAATAATCCCAAAATAATGACATAATTGTAATGTAAACTACTGGAGACACCAGTGATGGAAGGAAACTGTTTTCTTCTCTTCAAGTTAGGAAAGAACCACGCCTCTGAGATAAGAATCACAGATTGGTGATTCTCAAAAGCATTGCTCAAAGAGGATTCACATCTTTAGTGATTTATTCTTCCAAGGTTGTGCAACTGCATTGTCCACTTAGGTCGTATGGTTTCAAGGGTCTGTAGTATGCAGCTCCTTCTTTCATTCCTCTGTGCCTACACCAAGAAAACAGAGAAGATACTTTTGACTTAATAATTCTTGTGAAATACAGTGTTTGACTTTCAGAATACAAGCAAGGGACAAGGGAAACACAACTGGCCACTCTGAGTTGTACGAGTCTATCACGGAAATTTGAATGTTCTTGTAGAGGAAAGTACAGATTTTTTTTTTCTTACCAGCAGCTATAAGATGAATAATGATCAATTTAACCTGCATAATAACAGCCGTAAGAGCAATTTTGAATTTAACCAATTGTTATATACATACATGCACGTACATGGCCTATCCCTCTGAATGGAGTTATATACATGTATGATATCTATTTCCTATTTCTATGTCCTGTTTCCTTTCATTCTTTGCAGTGGGCCTTGCATACTGTTAGTGTTCAATAAATATTTGTCAAATCAATAAGAAATGAAATGAAAGAAATAACAAGTCCAAGCCTATCAATAGTAAACAGCAGTGGCAGCATTTTTCTTTTGGAAAAACAAACCAGCAGTTCACAAGCAAAACCAACCATCAAGATGTTCCTTAATGACTTGGCAATCATAAATTCCCAGCTCAAGAAATAAAACAAAACGCTGTTGTAGATGTCTTCAGAATAGCATGTTCATCATAAATTCAATTATGGTTGAATTGTGTTTTTATGAAACCATTGGGAATATATTTCATTTTCCTCCTTGTCCTTGATGCACTTGGAGCAGGATGGAATTCTCTCTCCCTTATTCCTTTTTCTCTGCATTGTCCATTTCTGTGAAAAGGGAGATCTGATTTTAAAAAATAAATATATGAAAGGATTGAGACTGGGCTAGCATAATAACAAGTGGCAGTCAGTATAATCAAGAGAAATAAATTTGTTTTTGTCTTGTAGATACCATGCTCTGAAGAATTTAAGAACCAAAAGGCCTCTCTCTGGATTCATAATATCAATCGAATGCCGTCCATCAGGATGGAGCTAGGATGTTTGCATAAAACCTTAATATCTTAAATGTGCTCCACCAAAACAGATGCAGGTACCTGGGATTGGTGTGGGGATGGGCAGTAAAGAAAGAGGTAAGAGAGGAGGAAGATGAGCAGGAGAGAGAGAGCAACTCGCATATCCCATTTTGGGAAGCAGCGTAGTATGGCTGTTGATGCCAGATTCTCTGGAATCAGATGGCTGAAGCCGAATCTGTCACCTGATTAAACGCAGAGCGGTGATAGTCCTGACTTCAAAAGAGTGATTTTAAGAATTAAATGAGTTAGTCCATGTAAGCTGCTTAGAAAGTGGCTGACAAGTAATCATTTTATAAATGTTAGCCATTAGTACCTGAGTCAGTCCTTATTGGATTAGTTGGTGTTTTGATGGGAAAAGCATGCAAGTGTTTTGAACCCTCTTGTGGATTGTGTATGTATATCAGATCAGCTAACAAAAGTTTGGGTTACCATAGTCCTAAATAAGTGACAATCCATTTCATTTGGTTTCCAGATTCCCCACATGGTGCAGTAACACCTTTGGTTTTCCCACTGATAGGAGCCTATCACTATCTCTGCTGATTTACAATTCTTTTCGAGGAAATAGCTCAAGCTACCCATTTTCCCCAAACCTACCCAGTGTTTGTTTCTTGAACTAAGCACATTATGAAACAGGTCATTTTCCTATTTTTAATTTCCAGTCATATTTTTTACATAAAACCTGTGTTTACTTTTTAATTCAAAGTACCATTAAGCAAATGCTCACAATATGCTGTTATATTTTGTAAAAGGCAGGATATAACACTATGTGCATAGGCGAACCCCAGTTACTCATTGTACTTGCCTCCAAAGGTAAGGATATGGGCAGCTTTTGCTTGCTTCTTTATCTTCTTGCATATTTCTTAAATCACCTTAGTATGGTTAGATTACGGGACAAATAATTAAGATGTTTTTTAAAAGGTTTGTGTTCCATCCAAAATATTATTTGAGACAATGGAAAGTTACCCACATTAAATTATAAACGGAGAAATGAAACAAACTTGGAACATTTTCTTCAGATACCAGTGCCAGTGATTTACTGCCAACCTAGGATTAAAGGGTAAAGATAGATGATACCAATATGTCTCACAAGTTGCTCTATCAGAAGAACCGGGCTGATGGAATCTGAACACATGGTATTTTCTCTTTAATTAATACCATTCGGTTCACATCACAAAGAATCTATCAGTCCCGCAAATAAGCAATGTGGCTTATCAACAATTTCAGATCTTTTAGAATGAGGAGGAAGTAGAAATAAATCCAGTCCTAATGTTGTGTAACATCAAAATCATCACTTGGGTTTGAAAAGTCATTGTATTGACCCATCTATGACTTTTATCCCCAGAGTTCACAACACATTAAACAAAATAATGAAACTACACTGGGAATTTGGTGTGAGGTAACAGAGGACCCTATTTTTTAAAATGGCTTGTTTTCTCTTTCTCAAAATGGACACCCCAAAGCTATCTGCAGCCCTGGGGATTCATGTATCAGAAGAAATCCTTTGAGTCAGTTGGTTAAGTTGGTAAAATCTGTGGGGCAAGAGTCAAACAATTTGACTGAATTCTTTTTATTTTAAATTATTAAATTCCTGTGGCTGCCCCTTACAAGCATGATTTTGGGCTTTTTCTCTCTATTAACCAAAGAATTTTATCAACTAATACAATAATAGGCATTTTTTAGGACTGTATTTAGAACTGTCAGTAGACAATTTCAAATTGGGCTGATCTCACAGAACATCGAATGTACCGTTTATTTATTTATTTATTGGTTTTTCAAACATCTTTATTGAGTCATAATTCACATACAATAAACACATAGTGTACAATTTGATAAGTTCTGACATATCTATTCACTCGTGAAAGCATCACCACAGTTAAGATCATGAGTCTATTATCCCCCAAAGTTTCCTCAAGTGCCTTCCCTCCTGTGCCACCTTGTTCCTGTCATTTGCAAGCAATCACCTACATTTTGTTACCGTAGATTGGTTTACATGTTACAAGAGTTTTATGTAAGACTATGGGTAAATATAAGTGTACTCTTTTTCAGAGAGGGGCTAGCTTCTTTCATTCAGCATAATTATTTTGAGATCATATCACCCTGCTACCTATAATGTTAACATCTTACATAACTATAGAATAATTATCAAAGAGAGATTAACATGGCTACAGTAATAATAGTCACTCAGTTGCAGGCTTTATTAGAATTTTTACCAATTTTCCTACCCGTGTCCTTTTGTTCTTTTCCAAGATTCTATCTGGGAGCATCCCATGTTGCCTTTAGTTTTCTTCTTACTCTCCTGCCATCTCCAGTAATTCCTCAGTCCTGTCCTTCATGACCTTCACACTCTTAAGTATTGATCAGTTATTTTGTAGAATGTCCCTCAGTTTGGGCTTATCTGATGCTTTCTCATGATTAGACTAAGGTATTAAGAAGTAAACCCTTTATTTAGTGAAGATTTGAAAGAGGAATCAAGGAAAGCACCTTTTCTGATATTTGAAAACCTGTCTTTTTTTCTTCCAACTATGGAAGCCCTAAAATCTGAGATCTTTGGGTTTTCTTTTCTCTGTATGTCTTCTGGACAAGATACTTGCATGTGGATTTATTGTCATGGGAAAGAAGAATATAATATTCACATGGTGTTCATTATGAGGGAATAAATAAACCTGCTGGCAACAGGAGCGTAATTCAATTATTCTGAAGAGATATCTCTATAAATACATTGGGATGGCTTAGTAAACAATGAAGAAATTTTATGCAATAGTTCTGGCAAGAGTTATGCAGAAGGAGATAATGGTCAGATGTTGTTTATGAAATTAAATATGAAATGGGGTATAGTTGTACTAAGCCAGAAAGTAATGGAATTATATAATCAGAGTTTTAGATCAGGAAGGGACCTAAAAAGTCAGTGAACCCAACCCTATCATTTTAAAGTATGAAAAATATGGTTCAGAAAGATGAACTTTTCTAAGGTCAGAGTGAATATCACAATGAAGTTTAATGCAACATCATTATATTAAGCACTTACTACGTATCAGGCATCCAGAAGCCCAGGAACAAAGAACTTTTAAAAGATTTAAAAAATAAGAAAAACCCTACCTTTGGTCTGGTTATCCACTATCCAGTTTGACAGCCATACAGTTCATGCATTCTCTAGATTTAAAAATTTCAGTATCATAAGTACTATGATAGAGGTATATACTATGAATTGAGTTTCTAAAAAGCCTTTCTAGAGAGGATGACACATGAGTTAGCCAAGCGAAAACGGTAGGAAGGACATGGCTGAGCAGCTGCAAGAGCAAAGACAGGGTTATTGTGTATCTGGGAACTAACAAGCAGAAAGTGGGAGCACAAGGTGGCAAGAGCTTTGCTAGGTAGGGGCAAGGTCTTGTAGGGCAACACTAGCAGATACTTGGGCTTTATCTTTTAGAACAGTGACACGAGGCATTCAAAAATTAATGAGAGAGCAGGGGGAGCTCTAACGAGGTTCATGCTTTGGAAGACATAGTGGAGGAGTTTTATTAAAGAGACCTGACGTCTCACCTATCCAGAAGGCATGTATGGAAGGAATTCAGTCCATAGATCTTCGGCCTGTAAGAAACCTGCCTGCAGCCGCTGGCTATGACATAGAATCCAGTGGCACAGACCTAACAGGTCCATTCCAGAGGCTGAGTGGACAATCATTATTTTAGGTATCTCCCAGGGTATAAATCTACTTAAAGTGTATATGACATGGTTCTGAAAGTTGGTTCTGTGCTTCCTTAATTGAACCATTGAGATCTAGGAGTGTGGATGCAGGGCGGTATGTGCAGCTTGGGGGAGGTCCCCGTGGAGGCCAGGCTCCAGAAAAAGACAATCAGGAGAACAAGGGGCAAGGGCACCCATTCCCATGTTTCCTTTCACGCAGCCCTCTGCTCAGAGGCACCACCGCCTGGAGGCAGGGCAGAGCAGAGGTGAGACTACAAGCAGCAAGCAGCTTTTCAGTGGTTGACACAAATCAGTAAATCTCCCCTCAGGGAACCCACAACATGCAGCTTCACTATGAACCATGTGCATATGTCACTTACCGCAGAGGGAAAAAATAATGAAAACTGAGGGATATGTCCAAGAAAAGAGGAATAATGAAAATTTTATGGAAGAGTGTTGATGTAATACCTAAATTTAACCTTTTATATTCCCCAAATTAACCTCTCTCCACACACTTCGCTCCCACCACTAATGAATTTCCTGTTCAAAGATAAGTTATAAACAGCACCAGAAATACTATAATTACTACCAAAAAAAGAATAAAAGTAAAAAGTGGAATAAGAATCTTCCCACTTGAACAAACAGAAACTTCAAAAAAACTTCTTTTCTAAAAAATGCATATAGCTTTGCAAATATGAGCTAAAAATGAAAACAAGGGATTAAAGACAATGCAAATTGAACTGGCAGAGATTGGAGAAAAAATGGAAGATAAAAATAAAACAAAAAAGCAAGTCAAATAAGAGCATCAAAAGTATCCGAGTCATTTTTTAAAACATCATCAGTGACACTGAGGGCATGTTGATAAAATACCGTAAAACAGGAAAGAATAAAAGGAAAGTATGATTAGGGAGATAAAAATTCTAGAGGAAAACAAAAGAGCATCCTTGTGACCTTGGGTTAGCCAAAACATTCTTAGATAAGGTAATAGAGGCACAAGTCATACAAGAAAAAAATTGATAAATTTGATGGCAAAAAAATTTTAAAAAGTGTGCTTCAAAGACACCATTAAGAAAACCAAAAAACAAGCCTCAGGCTGGGAGAAAATATTTGCAAATTACATATCTAATAAATGAGTTGTTTCTAGCATATATACTTTTAAAACTCAATAGTAAAAAGGCAAATAATTCAGTTAAAAAATGGGCAAAAGGCAGGAATAGACACTTCACTAAGGAAGGCATGTGAATGAAAAGGGGTCCATTAGTCGCCAGGGAAATGAAAAAACCACTGCAAGATGCCACCACACAGCCACAAGAGTGGCTATCATCAAAAACAG